AAGTTTTTCCAAATTGAAGCTCTTGAAATCTTACTTACGGTCTACAATGTCCCAAGATAGACTTAGTGGATTGGCGGTAATAGCTATCGAGAATGAAATCTTAGAGAGCATAGACTGTGAAGATGTGATCAACCAATTTGCTCTCAAGAATGCAAGGAGAACTTCTCGAATCCTCGGCTAGCTTTTACGGTATGTAATTATAACACTTTAATTTTGTCATTTATTTTTTTCTTTTAATAATATTGCGTTATTTATTATTTAGATATAATTAGTTTACGTATGTGAATTTTTTAGATCATTAAATAAAAGATTTTTTGGGCCTTTTTTTTGTTTCGGCCCAGGCTGATGAATCCTCAGGACCGGCCCTGCTTTAGGGTATAATTTGGGATACACTGTCTGGTGTACCTCTAGCATGGTTGATATTAAAATCATAAGTTAGAAATCCATGAAGTTTGACATAATGAAGCTATTTTTGGTACATGTGATAATTGTTGGTAAAATATATTGTCTAACTATGATCTTACCCCTGATGAATTTGTAACATGACGTACATTGTTGGAATTTTGACATTTAATAGGTTTAAATGGACCAACTAGATATTACTATCAATAGAATCTACAAATGATTTTGATTGTTAATTAATACGGAGTAGTAGTTTGTTCTTCTAAATGAAACGAATATCTTGAAACTCTGTATATTATACAAAAAAAATGATTAAAAAATTAATTAAAAAAATTGAATCTTGCTTTCAAAAAAAATTAATTCTCAAATTTAATTTGATGAAAGAAATGATGAAGTTTATGTGAGTTTTTATATCATATTGGAAACTTACCACATAAATGTTCACCATATAAGTGCGAGCATTTAAAAGCTTAGTAGAGGCTTATTAGTAGAGATTACAAAAGGAAAGCTTATGCTAGGGCTGTTCGTTTAGATAAATTCGATCCCATCCGGTTTTTGGGATATTCAAAATTTTAGATTGGCAAATATCTATCCTATGTTTGATCCGAAAATTACGAGATACCCAAGTTTCGGATATCTAAAATTTTGGATCGCATCAATGAAATATCCAAAGAAAATGTGTAGTTATTCCTTTTAATTTTAAATTTTCCTAATCTTTATGAAAAATATTTAGAATGATTTTTTATTTGTTAAAAAAGTGGTCTATAATATGCCACCTACACGTCAACACCTCGAAGACTCGTTCATATCCTTTCTTGCCGCCTCAGGAACTTTTTTGTACGTCTGTCATTTAAGACCGATTGGTTTCGAGAGCGACTTGACAGTTATGGAATAATCTTGATATATTGCATCGTAAGGATAATATCCATGATTGTAGAGCGTCCCTCTAAGCTCGAAAAACGAGTCGGCTGCAGTCTAATTAACCAATCGTCAAATACGGGCAATTGATCAAGAATATTGATGTCATTGTTTGAGACAGCAACACCAAAAAAGCATGCCAAAATCATAAGTCATTTGAAGCGCATTGACGATTTTGCTTCATCTTGTTGTACTTGTTGCCACCACTAGTAACATCTTGCTGGAAAGGAACAAAACATGACAGCTCTTCTCTCATCGTCAGATTAAGATGATCCTATCTTTTTTAAAAAATATAGGATATTTTTTAAGTGGGTTGTAGAGACAATTGAAAATGTAGAATATTTTTTTGGATGAGTTGTAAAGAGATTGTGTATATATTTGTATTTTTGTGAGGGTATTTATAGTTGTAAAGAGATTGTGTATATATTTATCTTAACGTGGCATGTACTTGGTAATTTTTGTTTAATTATAAGTCACAAATCGATATTGATTAACTATAAAAATTCAGAACTTGACAAATAGTCTAAATTCTGAAATAAAAAAATATTATACTTTAAATACTTATCGTGAGAAAATATTATAAAAGGATAACATGTTTTTTTTGTTGGGAACGGATGGAGTATATAATTGCATCTCAAGTTAGACACTACAGTAAGATGTTTTGCAAATACCAACATTTTCATAAAACTTCAAAACTCATATTTACCTTAATACATTAATACTTGACTTCAAAAATTCAACAAGGTGAAATGCCAAAGAAATTAAAATATAAAAACAGTAAAATACCAACGGTGCAAAGTAAAACGAGAATGCTCCAACAATGGTACGATTTTTTTTTAATCTTCAAGCATCAAGACGTGCACTTTTTAACAAACATTGTGGTAAAATAAAGTTTTATTCACAATTTGACCATCGTGTTTATTAACTTTTTTTCTCTTGTTTATTATGAACCATATATGTTTCTATTTTACCTTTAATTTTTTTTAGTATTATTACCCCGAGTACAATGTAATACTCCCTCCATCTCAAATTAAATTGTGATGGTCAAGTGTGCATCAATTATCCTGTGACGAAGGTTATGTGAGTCAAGTCACAATCGAATATCGTGAGCGTTTGTGTGTGCTAAATGCACTATAAGACTAACGTTTGCGTTTCTTTTAACATCAACTGATTTTAGAAAAGTTGGTAGCACCTGAGGTCCTACAAATTACATGTTTACTATTCACATGGTCAAATTATATTCACTTTCTTTCTTTATTTTTGTTACTCATTTGATAAAATAATATAGCCATGTCACATCTTGTTTCGTAAATATTTTGAAGTAATTTTTTGATATGTAAATTTTATTTTTTCAATTCCACTCCAATTCTTAATTAAATTGTATTGAAAATAACTTTAGCCAAACATCATAAACCGAAACGAGCGATATAAATTGGGACGGCGGAGGGAGTATCTTTTTATATATACTTTCTCAATATACTGTAGCACCATGCTTGGGTTCGAAGATGTGACTTCCCATTTTGGAGAGCCACAACTATACCGCTTGACCACAAGGTCTTTGGCACCTTAAAAAACACTTTTTATTGGAGAAACCAAATACAACAAACATTTGAGGTTAAGATGTAGTAGTAGTAGTATGTCTCATGTACAGTTAGCAAGTACTACCAAACAAAGGCAACAGGAAAGGGAACAAAGAATAATGATGGCAAGGAGTACAACCTCAAAGCTTCTAAAACTGGAGCCCGTTCGCTCTTGCAGCTTCTGCAATAGCTTGAATGCGCCCGTGGTAAGGGTACCCGCCTCGATCAAACACCACCTTCGTGATCCCCTTCTCGAGACACAGCCTCGCTATAGCTTCCCCTACTTTCTGTGCCACTTCCTGTCACCAAAGGCATGCCTTAATTAACATGACCCTATTTTACATTGGATACGACTTAAACCTCCAAGGGTATGCATGTTTGGAAGGAAGGGTTTTGGTGTTGGAAACGTTGAAGGGATTACTTCATATCTTGATAAATAGAATGTGTTTAGAATTTGGAATTAAGGGTCATTGAAATATTGTAGTACCACAAACGGCATTGGGTTATTTCTTCAATTTTTGAAATAGACGTAAACATATACTCCATATTAAAGATATAAACTTAGCCTTCAAGGTCTTCTAGAACTTAACTCCCAAGCTAACCCTAAGGGTATGTTTTAATGGAGGGCTTTGGAGGGGTTGTAGCAACAAAGAAGACACAAAACACGAACAAAGAAGTAGCAAAGAAGTTATTTGGAATGCTATACAATCTCGTATTACGTCAGTATTTCTATTTTTATAAATATCAAATGCGGAGTATATTTCAAAATATAGTCTAAACCCCACCACATGTTTCAATCCAAACACATCCTAAAGAGAAGAGCATTCACAACAAGATAGCAATACAATCTTTTATAATAATCTGTTAATCCTTTTCTCTAGAGAGGTCTTCCAACTTTCAGCAATTAATCCTCAAAAAAATTAACAGTAATGCCTCAATATTAAGTTGCATCAAACTCCTCAAAGGAAATTACTATGTGCAAAAGATCCAATTGATCAATACTGAGGAAAAAAATCATTTGTGAAATATCATGCATAAAAAACATAAAATCTCAGGCACATTATAGTCATTTAAACACTACTTTCTTTCTTTTTAAAAGCAAGGGCACGAAAAAAAAAATTCTAATGAGTTGGGGGCAATTGAGTCCAATTATAGTCACAACCTATCGGGAACTCCACCTTATTATATCAAGGAAAACATATTAGAGGTTAGAGCTCTTGAACCTTTTTAAATAATCGGTAAACTTACAATGGTGGGACCAGCACTATATTCGACTTTTTCGGAGATGGATCTTTGCATTGTTGAAACTGCAGCCAGAGTATGCATTTGTGTGTCATCAATCACTTGAACATAGAAATGTTTGTTGGAACGGAACACCGACATCCTTGGCCTTTCAGGAGTACCTTCAACCTGATAACAAGGAATTCATTGCATTTATCAGAGATTCACAAACCTCTTTACCTTTTACAGGTAGGGGTGAGGTATGCGTTAGTGGTGGACATGAGCCAGGCTTCCCACCCAAGCCCGAAGGCCCGTCCATTTTTTAAGTGTGCTTCAACAAGTTAGGCCCGAAGTTCAGGCCTTGAACAAAAAGAAAAGCAAGGTTAATAAATGGGCGGGGTTTGGACAACCTCCCAGAGCCCGAGCCCGGCTCAAATTTATGTACTCTAACGACTTAAGGAGTACAACATTTTATTTACATGTAAATGTGAATAAATAATGAGGCCTAATATATACTGGTTTCGATTTATAAACAGAACTCCATTCTCGCACAGGATAACACACTACATAACCAAAAACATACCCAATACGTTTCACAAAAAAACAGTGTTTGGGGAGGGTGAGGTGTACGCGAACGTCATCCCTACCCCTAGAAGTAGAGAGACTCTTTTCACAAAGATCCCTGGGAAATATAGGGAAGTTTTGAGAGATGTTAAATACTCCTATTTGATTTTATGTTTATATTGAAAATTTCAAATTTCTTTGTAATTTTATATTTAAACTTTTCAGCAGTACAAAACAGATATCCAAAGATGAAAGATAGTGTGAGTACTGGGGTAAGGCAACAAATTGAAAAGATAGAATAGCATCGAAACGGCAGTACACTAAATAGAATGTAAACAAAATACTAGCTATCGCCACAAAGACGCACTAACTACAGGACCAAGAGAACCCCCAACCACCCAACAGCAATTGCACACAAATTCTACTCAAACTCTTATAAAAGGTAATAGACTCTGAGAGGTCTAAGACTGACATGTCTAACATCAGTGGTTCATCACGTCCACTGTGAGATGAAAACCCATCTATTTTAACATCTCATGTCTACTTAGGGTTTTAAGGCTTTATTATTGCCTACCAGCCCCAACTGCATATACAATATTCTTCTCATACAACAAATGCTTGACTTAGTTCCATAAGCAACAGTGCTACAATTGGGAATTTGGCTAAGGGGTTGATTCTCATACCAACTCGTGTCTTTTTCACCTAATGAAAGAAGACCCCAATTCCCATAAAGGTACAAGTCCAGAAAAAACAAACCTAATTAGCATTACAATTTAATGCGAGTACTGCCAACATGATTGAAATATGTTAGTGAAAAGAACGAGAACCTTGATTTTGACTAGAACATTAATTAAGATAAGTTTATGAAAAAGAATAATAACCTTGTGTAACCAATACAATACCATACTCTTAAGACATACTCCCTCCATCCCAAAATGAACTTTACACTTGCCTCTATGGGATGTCCCAAAGTAAAGTTTAAACTTCACCTTTTTCCTTTCTAGGAATGAAGTATGTGGCTGTTAACATTTCTCTCTCTTCAAAACAAAACTTGACTATACATTTTCATTTTTTCAACACTTTTTAAAACCATGTGAAATCATTTTGTAAACTTCATTTTGGGACGGAGAGAGTAACCATTAGAACAATAGTTGCCATAATGTTTCCAATTGTAACAAAGTTTAAATGTTACAAAACTTAATTGGAGCAGTGTAGCAAATGAAAACAATAATCAAAAGGAAATTATGGTTGCTTTTTTCCTATAATGGCATGAATTCAAACTGGAACCAACTGTCCAGCTCCAGTAAGAATCAAACATTTATACCGTCCTACATTCCTACTTACAGAAATGACTACATTTATAAGAATGTACCATTATGATAATCCGTGACACATTGGAAACGACATCGAGGCTGGCAAGGCCCGAATCCACTAGAAGAATATGTGCACATCGCAGGTGTGTTCTTTAATAACATTGGTGATGGCGTGATGGCATAAATAAGTAATTTCCTTGAATGAACGGAAGAAATGAACAATTTAGATCACTTAAGGGGTTATGGCATGTAAAGGCAGTTCATTGCAGATAAGTGCACAAGTCTAGACAATCCCACGCCATATTGCTATACAAGAATCCACAAAATTTGGGTCTATCTTCGACGCTTCTTTAAGGGCTAGACAGACATTATGGTAAATTGTAGTTATGAGCAGTAGTATAATATAATTGTGAAAATTTGAACCGGGACCTAGTGTCTAGATTCTTGTAACTGGAACCTAGACAATCGAAGTTAAAAGTTGAGTAGAACATGGATTAAGATGCTAATCAGCTAAAATAAACAAGACAGAAACGCAAAACCTAGTATGATACTCCATCTTAGCATAGAACAGACAAAAATGACAAAATTAGTAAGGGTGAGACGATTATTATCCCGACGGAAGAGTACAAAATGCGATTAAACCCTAAAGAGTAATTAGGGATACCTTCTTCCTAAGGCGAGAATGGCGAGCAACCCGATCGTCCCTACTGGTTCTGGACTTGGCTTCAACAATCAGAGGCAATGGCCGGGTGGAAGCGGGTAGCACGACCCGGTAGCAGGGGAAGCCATTAGAGACCTGCTTATTGGTGCAGAAAGAAGGAGGATGGAGAAAGGAGAGTGGGATCGAATTAGCAGACATGCCTGTTTTTCCTTCAAGAATTTCACAGGGCCTCTGTGGAAGGAAGGAGCTCCTTCCTCCTATTGAAAAAAGGATAAGGAAAAGAAGAAGCATTAGCAAAATAAATACTATTTTCAATAGCCATTTGATAAAATACTATAGTCTTGTTTTCACTTGTTTTGTAGAATTTTTGATGTAGAATTTTAATATATAAATTTTATTTTTTAATTTTACACTTACAATCAAATAAATTGAATTGAAAATAAAGTCGCTCAAACCTCGTAAACACAAACGGAAAAAACATTATAAGACAGAGGGAGTAGTATATCTAGTTAAAAATATTTTTATGTGGAATACTAATATTTAATGCACTTTTGATTTTATTAATGATCAGAATTCATTCGGTTTAACTATGAAAAATAAAGTTAGACAAACACATTAAGACAAATATTTTTAAAAAAATATAACAAATGAAACTTGTTAAAAAAACTCGTTATTTACAAAAACAAATATAGAATACGTAGTATATGATAATTTTGAAGGTGTTTGAAAATGATAAACTTATTTGTAAAGTTATTTTTATGCACCACTTTTTGCAGATACAAAAAATGAAAGTAAAACTATTGCTAGAGATATGAATTTCCCTAAAATATTGTTTCACATGAAAAATTATGGTGACAAAAAACAAAAATTTACATGTTCACCAAATGTGCTCCCACTCAAATTATTTTCTAGATCCGTCACTACGGTCAATTTGCGACCCAAAAAAATTATGAATAATTTCACTCAAAATTATTTAGTTTTTGAAATTAGTGTCTCATTACCTTTTTTATCCATCAAAATTGAAAGCATATGTGGTCATTAACTATCTCAAGGTTTGTTACGGAGTAGTTTTTACGGAGTATTAGTGTATTACACTATATACCAAATAACACAGTCTTACTCTATAAGACTGTTATTGTGAACATGATTTGAGGATGCATTTGTTACATGACATTGCTAATAAATTCATGTTTAGATTTGTTTTTTTTCTTTTGTTGGTTATAAAAAAATCCAAATACAATACTCATTCCGTCTAAAAAAAACTTGAACAATATTTTCTCTTTGGATGACACAAAAAAAACATTTCTCACTTTATTTCTTTTTTAATAATTGATATGGAATATATGATTCACAAAATTAGTCCATATACTTTTAGTTTTTCATAAAAATCATAAAAGTCAAGATGGGGGGGAAATTGTGTGTGGGGGGGG